TTGGAACCACAAAGTTGCTTAATTATAGTACAATTTAAGTAAATCTTTTTTATATGGGAAAAAATCCATTGTCAATGACATAAAATTTTGATTTGTTTAATATATTATCCTTGAAATGCTCAAAAGTCATTTATATGATTCATTATAGTTTAATTAATATTACTAATTATTAATTATACTATAAATTTGAGCAGCTAAAGATATTCGGGTAAGACAAAAAAATTGACAAGTAATTTTTTCATGAATATACGTAAGTGAAAATTTGAATTTTCAAAAAAACCGTTAAGCAAAAGTCCGTTACGAATTAATGCAAAATAACTATAAATATGAGATATTCGTTTAGCACACATAAATTGAGCATATATTTATGCTGTTTTTAATGTTTTACATTATATCATAACACTTCACCAACATTTAATTAAATTGACTTTTCTATTAATTAACGGCTTGACGTATTTTTGCATATCATATAAATGACAGTCATTGAATTTAAATTTGAAAAATCCGTTATATATAGATGTGATTTGCATCTTTATGTTAAGAATTTACATGTTATGCAGTAGGAATGGTACGGATAAACACAAAATCTTTAATTGAAGTTAGGACATAAATAATTTAAAACAAATGAAAATTTTTGATAGTCTTTACTAATTACCCATTAAAAACTGGTAATTTATAAATAGTTGAACGAAACGGAGTGAAACGAAGTGGAGTCTAAAACTTCCCGTAATCAAAAAACTGCAACCTCCTTATTAAGTATGATAAAGTCAGGGTTGTAATGAAACAAAAGCTCCAAATTTTGGAAGTTAAATTGATTTATAGATTTGATAAGACTAAAAAGTAGAAAATAAAATAGTATAAAAAAACTTTTTTAAAAAAGCACGCTTTTATTTCCGATTACAGTGCACTAAAAAGGAGAAAATAATTTTTTTCTGAGAACTCAAATTTGATACAAAATTTTATGACTAAAAATAAAAGCGTGGGGCGCTCTTGCATATTTCACTAAATCTTGAATTTGTGACAGTTAAAAATAATCCATATATGTTTACACAAGCATTAGGTTTGTGAATATATTATAGAAAATCTAGAGATGGTTTTAATTGAACGCCCCACGCTTTTATTTTTAGTCATAAAATTTTGTATCAAATTTGAGTTCTCAGAAAAAAATTATTTTCTCCTTTTTAGTGCACTGTAATCGGAAATAAAAGCGTGCTTTTTTAAAAAAGTTTTTTTATACTATTTTTAACTTGATAGTTATTGTTTTAAAATAAAATTCGACCGTTATATTTCAAAAATTATTTGACAGTTATTTTTCAAAAATTATTTGACAGTTATTTTTCAAAAATTATTAAACCGTTATGTTTTAAAATCTTGAATTCTAATAATGCTAACATCACAAAGCTCCTCCAATTCATCATACAAACTGCAAAGTTTAGCTGCACAAAAATCCTTAAACCTGCACTTATACAAGAGTGCATCAATGACAGACGTCAAAATACTTTCCCACTGTTTATTTACCTTTAACCGTCTTCACCTCTCGTTTATGGACTGAAACTGAGATTTTCAACTTCCATTTGAATAAATAAGAAATTTCAAGCTAGTTCTCATAAATCTTGCAGCAATAAAAGTCTTGACAATCTAAATATAAAAAAAAATAAACTTGTCAGAAAGAAAAACTTTACCACGAAAAATCAGACATATTAAAATAGAGTGCAAGTGCATTTCTTGTACAGCAACATCCATTTGGGACTCAACTTTTATTATTCTTGGATTTCAAACGAAGCACAAAGAGACACAAAATGGAAAACCATCAACTAAGATAAAAAAAAGAGAATGATTTGTTGAGTGCGATGCTGATTTCAATGATAATCAATTTATTTTATTACACAGCATCCCGCTTTTGTACATCTTCTTGGCTCATCCAATTTTTATTCATATTTCAAAAAAAATGTTGAGAACAAAAAAAAAGTTGTGAACAAGAAAAATAAAATTCATATTACTTTAAATTGAGGATCTGCAAACAGTCGTTTTTCGTATCCTTTTTGCAGTGTTTTTGTGCGATGAGTAAGGATGGATTTTGTTATGGCTATGTGATTTTTTTGAAGCTGCTTTATTGGTGAGAAGTATGTTTTCGGATGGGATATAGACATTTTCTCATTGGATATTGGTCCACGGACACTTCCTCACTGCCACTTGCCCACTGGGCACTTCTGTATCTGAACTCTGATATATTGGTAATGTATTTAATGGGAATCGAACCTTTGTCTATACTATTGCTGGATCGTTAAACCACAGAAGTGTAACTTCCGATCTGGCTGATTTATCGCCATTTGATACCTAATCTGACTACATTCCTCCTGCCCACATCCCTCATCAATATTCCCAATAAATAATTTATCCTTAAAAAAATTCAAAACAATCTTTACAGCCACCAATTCATAATCAAGCATTTAAAAAAAATTAATTGCTTTGACCCAAAGACATAAAGTCCAGTTCCTCTTCCATTCAACCTTTTAAAAAATGCGTCATCTTTTTGGCACCCCAACAAATGCTCTCAATCTATCTCTAGCTTCATCATATTCTCTTTGTTGGTAACCCACAATGAATGGATGCATGAAGAAAAAGAGAAAAAAAATAATAATGATTGGAGCAACGAACTTAATGGGCTCTTTTTGCTGTCAGTAATAGTCGTTTATCAAAAAAGCGTATCTATTAACCACTCGGCATTACTCCCTGTTCTCCTCATAGATAGGGTTACCATCTAATTTTCATGAAAATACAGGACTTTTGGTAAATTTTTTCGAAAAATACAGGACACAGAGTAAAATTCGAAAATTAACGGAAATTTTCGTGAAAAAAATACAGGACCTGGAACAAAATTTTGAAATTTATACAGGACAGGGTTTTGAAATACAGGACTGTCCGTTGTAAAACTACGCAGATGGTCACCCTACTCATAGAGAATGGAAGACATAAAGAGAAAATTTTTTTGGGGATCATTTGGTATGTTGTGAGAAGTTTTGTATTCTGGTCACTGCTTGATTGTCCTAAATGGCAGAGTGTAGTGTAGATTTCTTCCATTGATGTGAAAATTAATTAGAAGTATTTGCTTAACGGTTTTGTGAAATTTAAATTTTAACGATTTGGAGAATTCAAATTTTAACGGTTTTGTAAAATTCAAATTTTAACGGTTTTGTAGAATTCACATTTAACGATTTTGTAGACTTCAAATTTCATCAATTTTGTGAAGTACAAACTTCAACTTCAAAATTCATCAAGGAAAAAGTTAAAAGCAGCTTAATTGAACCAAACAAATAAATTAAAACAGCTGACTAATTCCCAATTCAAAGACCTTCCTTTTTTCATTTCCACAAAGTCATCCACCCCATTGCCAATGCCAAATTGAACAACAAAAACTAAAACGAAATAATGAATTAATGAAAGATATTTGCTAATGCTTTTTTGCCATTCTATGGATGTATATTGCCACGAGCTTTTTATCACTATCAATTATTTGCTTACTTAATGATAAGCGCATGATTCAAGGAACAAAAAAAAATGCTTGTTTTTATTTTGAAGAATTCCGATTTTTGTCATCGTTGGGGCTGATAACGAGCTGTAAACGTGATTAAATTTACAAAGAATTTTTTGTCTGTTCGCGGGGAAGGGGGGCGTTCACAAGTGATGTCTAAATAATAGCTTTGACCATCTGCTCTTGTTGTGGCTGAGCCCTCAATTTGATTAAGTGTTTGAGAGTTCAGATGATCCATCCTATCATTTACAAACAACCCCCAATCCTCCAAGTCATTCAGCTACATTGAAAAATTGATGATATCAAGGGATTAAGTTGCTAATTCCTTTGTAATTGTCAGAAGATGATAAAGTCGTGTGTTTGGGATTTGTGGTCGTAAACATTGATTTTCTAAAAATAGAATGAGAAGGAGGATATCCGCTGGGTTCAAAGCTATAAATTACAGCCAATTCCAAGTCAATGAGTCAGTCCAATGATACACAATGCTTAATTTCATACAATTTAATACTTTATTAAACGGAATGTGATAAGCAAATTAGTCACTACATTAGGATCACCAAAAAGTTCATCAAGATAATACAGAATCAAATTCATTTAATGCTTAATTAAGGTCAGTGTCACATTCATTGTCATTTCCGCTACAATGCGAGTTCAGATCGTTAACCTTTTGGATACAAAAGCCTTCTCGTTTTCAATCTTGCCAGTATGAGACAAATTATAATTAAAATCAAGTATATCCCTTGTGTATCAACAGTCGGTATATCATGATACCTAATGATAAAATATCAGCGTCAGCAAAAAATGAAAGTTTTTCTATCTGATGCTGCACTTGAAAAATTATTTTGAGGATGAGAATAGGAATGCGAATGAAAAATGGTGTTGGATGAATGGATACAAATAAATTTATACGAGTGGTGAATGAGATATGCTTTGGACAGGGGATGAGCATGTTTGGTGATATATGATTGTCCTTACGGATGTTGAATGAGGTTGGTATAGGCTTATAGAGCACTATTTGGGCTTTGATTGACTAAGTTAGACTGACACTTAGTTTAATACTCTTCATGGGTCAATCCACGTCATTCCCTTATCCAACAGTGCATCAAACTCTCACAAATCCAATCTTACATCTCTTGCCATTCAGCCATCTGCAGCACACCCCCTGATCAATGATATGGAGCTTAAATAGATGAGGATGATAATGTGCACGTCACTTTTTCTATTAATAATGATTAATCATGATTTGTCATGGCACCAATAAAAATAACTTCAAGTATTCAGATATTTTGCTGACATAATAATTAGTGACAGAGAAAATGAGACTTTAATTATGAATACCTCAGGAATGTTCCCACCACTCACATTAAAGCTTTATGACTGAGTTTATAAACTGCACGTAATGACGACAATTAGAATGCTGAAAACTTTTTCCTTTCTGAGATAAAGATTTTATTTGATGAAATTATGAGAGTAAGTAAGGGAATGAATGATGACTCTTTGAAATATTTAAATGAATTTTTTTTTGTCATTTTGAGGTTGGGAATTAAATTATATCTTAAGAACTACTGAATTTTTAGCTTCTCTGGCTGTGGATATTGGTTCTTGCCACTTTTTTGCATAGTTTACAATGTATTCGGATAGCAATTGACTTAACTATAAGCTTAACTTTTTAAAAAAACTTTTTGAAGTGAGGAAAATCTTAGCTTTAAAAATTTTGAATTTAAAAAATCCGTTAAATTAATTTTGCGTTTAAGTTTATGGCACTGAATGACTTCCTTACTCAAAACGATCTTATATTAGCTTTTTTAGAACCCTCCAACGGGCGGAACATTTGATGCATAATTTCCAATGTAATTTCCAGGTGGATTATAGTTGCAAACCACAAAAACTTGCCCTTTTGCATTCTTTTTCACGCCGATTCCCAGTTCCTTACATTCTTTCCATACAACTTGTGTAAAATGTCCAGTTCCTGTTGTTTTTGGTTCCATTCCAAATTTATGTTGTTTTATTTCTTCATACCACGAGTCCACTGGATCTTTCCCTTCTACAACATGATTCGGGTCGGTGCTGTATGTAATTGAATATTCATAATTAATGAATTTTGAGCTTTTAGGTGTGAAATTCTTGCATTTCTTCCTTCTCTATGTATTTGTAAATATTAAAGTATACCTGAAAAAGTAGTAGATGTTCTCTCCATACTTTTGTTGATTGCGATGCTGCATAACTGACTTGCTTGCGAGGTGCTGAGGAAGATAACAAGACATGGAATAGATTTATAATAAATGTATGAGGAGGAACAATAAAGTGAATTGAAAGGAATCGTAGGTGAAGCCTAAAGTTATACTCAACTGGAGTTGAATCTTGGTGGTTCAAGTAACTACATTTTAGATCTAGGGAATATAAGAATAGGTTTCTGGAGAAGTTTTTGACACCAAGGCTAAGTCGATGTTCAATTTGTGGGGGTTTTTGTGTTTTTAAAAAAATCTCTTCAAGGGCTTAGCCAAGAATTTGAAATATTTGTTGAAGGAGGAGTGCTTGTTGAAATTGGTTTAGGAGGTTGGGTCGTTGATATGAAGTTTGGTTTGTTGAAATTGGGGGGAGGGGTAAAAAAAATTTGAAGTGGGGGGGGGGGGGGTACATTTTCGCAAAAACCCTAGCCAAATGAAGAAATTGCTAATGATGAAGGGGGATCTCACCATGTGCTTATCACAGCTGCCTTCCTTAAATTCATACAAAACAATTTGAACCACCCTCTTCCTCCCCCTCCCCCACCTCATTAAACTAAGTTCAAATCCTTTGTTTAGGAATTAAAAGAATGGTAGCTAGGGAATAGGTGGAGATGTTGTTGTTTTTTTTTGGATAGATAAAGGTTTTGGATAGTAACCTTAAGAACAAAATTTCCGTCGAAATAGCTGCCCCCCCCCCCCCCCCCCCCGCCCCCACCATAGTTATACCCCATTCTTATAACATTAATTGAATTAAAATCCAGTTAAATTTTAAACCATTCAAAAAACTCTTATTAAATTTCATTAAACAATAGCTTAATACAGTGCACTCAAGCAAATAATCACACAAAAATTCCACAGCAATTTCCATGCATAATTAAATTCATTTCGCTTTTTTTCACACAATTTTTTTCCCACAGATAAATAATTTTATGAAAATATTGACATCACTGATCCTTATCATCATAATTTAGACGATCAAAAAAATGCAGCTGATTATATTGATAATTCGACAGACTGTACACGCTTATCAGACATTAATAAAGTTCCGCTGATATGTTTTACAACAACTCTGTTGTTATTGTAAATTCCGAAATGAAAAAAAAATTGTGGGGTGGGTCTAATTACATCACTAAGAGAAGAAGCACATCCACCGCAACACGACACTTTACAAAAACCTTAAGAACATGTACTCACTTCAGCCCATTCTTGTGCATAACTACATAATTCCTTGCTGAGTTTCAATGGAGTTACTTTGTGTTTACTTCTGTATTCATTGTGTGCCTTTAAACATTGTACTTGAAATTCACTCACGTTAGAACTTTATGTATGAAAATTAATTCAAATTAATTATTTTAAATGCATTTGGCTTGTTCTTATTTCATGTTATTTACCCCATTTTTTTTTTGCTAATTTAATTAAATTAATATAAAACTTTAATCACTTTATTGCTCTCACTAGTGAATTTATTTTGTTTTGTGCTTACAATTCGCTAATTGACGAACGACTAACCGCACATTCTACGTCGTCTTTGCATTTTATTCGTATAAAACTTTTTTTTTTTGATAAGAGAATTTTTTTTTTGCTTTAATAAAATCGGAGATACGTTATGGATTCTATGACACATTTCTCAATTGTGAGCGTTGTGAGTAAGATAAATTTTATGCTGTCGCTTGGCTTTGTTATTTATTTTGAGAGAAGAATTTTAAGTGAATCTATTTAAATTTGAATTGGGAGCTCAATTGGTTCATGTGGGAATTTTTTTGACGATGTTTTGAATTCTGAGGAAGTTATAGAATGTATTACAATTTAAATAAGTTGGTGAAATTAGATTTAGTAATACTAAAATTGACTTTTGTACCCCCTTTACCCCTCCCCGTTTTTCACAAATGAAATATGAAAAATTTATTGTTTGAACTGTCACAAAGTTTTAAACCCCCACCTCCATTAAAAGCACTGGACTACATCACAACAGTGTAGTCTGATACTGAAGCATTTGATTCTAACCTTATTGGAATCGAAGGTATCAAGAATATGTAGGTAAATCTGTCAGTGCTAAAGTAAGACGTCTGTGGCTACGAGATTAGGCAACAGAATGTAATCTTTTCTTTTGTGAAGACGTGGGTTCAAATCCTTGAATCTATTAATCCGTTGCATAAAATGATTTCGAAATGTTAAGGATTTAAACAATGATTACGACATTATAGAAGGGTTGTCTGCTGAGTACATTCTTAAACTAAGTGATGTAACGGGACTACGTCCCTGACCCAAAAATGTAAGTAGTTTACAAATGAGTTTAGATGGAACGTTTGTTTAACTCGGGAGTATTTTATTCTTTTTTCCCCTTCCTCTCATTTTTTAAAGGTTTAATCCAGAACTTACAAGTGTGGCATCTTTCCAATTTTATAGGTTAGCCCAATAATTTCTTAAAATTAACATTTTCAAACAATTCTCAGATTTCAACCTTAAAAAATCCGTTTCCGTTTTTATTCACTTCTAAAAACCTTCTTATCAATTTTTAAAGACATCAACAATAGATATCGAAAAATTGGGATGGGAATCGAGATAACAAAGAAAACTATGACAGTGATACAAATTAACGATAATAAGTATGACAATAAAAGATAGATTTCATTAACTTGAAAAAATAAATTTGTTGGCGGAACTTTATCAATCAAGTTCTTTTCTGTTTTGTGTAATTGAACGACAACTTAAAACATATCAAACAACGGAACTCCCTAGAAGAGTAATTAGTGTGAATATCTGATAAGTCGGAACTTTATGTGAGTAATTATAGAGCTTGAGTTTTACATCGTTTAATTTTTAATTGCTTGATTAACATGAATGAATAGTTTTTTCTAGATTTTTTTGATTTTAATGCTCAAGGGCGGATTTTTATGTCAGATATATTTTGTGAAGCCAATGATTTGAGTGGTGCTGACAAGGTGAGGGTTGACTCAAAGAGTTGACAAGGTGGGGGGCAAGTTGGGTGTCAGGTGGGTCCGAATTTGAGGGCGTTTGTGAATCCATGTGAAGTTTTGTAAAGCCATTTTTAAAATTTTTGTGGGATTGAGGAAGTCCGAGTTTGAGGGTGTTATGAGGCCATGTGAAGTTTTGTGGTAGGATTGACCTTAAAAACATTATGGTTTTTTGCGTCTTACAGTTATTTACATAATAGTAATCAAATTTTAACCCTGATAAGAGGCGCCACGGGCTAGTTTCAAAATAAACTCATTCAACAATACTCACATCAGCCCATTGCTGAGCATAGATGCACAAATCCTGACTAAGTGTAAGCTGTAAAACATTATGTCTCCTTCTATAATTGTTATGTGCTTGTAAGCAATCGCGCTGGAATGCATTGATGTTGAGGCTTTGAAAATAAATAATTTAATAATCAGAGTTCCTATGGAACTGATTAAAATCCAGAATAACATTACCTCATCTTTTCTATTTGACGAAATTCAAAAAGCTTTAAGTTTTACTCTAACAAAAAATCCACAGCAACTTTCCAACACAACGATTGTAAAAGTACTAACTGCATGCTGAAAATTGTCATTTATTTTACTAAGTTGAACAAAAAAAAAAGCTTCGATAAGAGGATGATTAATCTTGGCAACAGCCAACGTACTTTTTTGTATGCAGTAAATGAGTTTCTCATGCTACGGAGTCACATGACTTTAATGGTCGAGTTCTGTGGAAAGAATTTGTTGTTATGGAATGTTTTTTGCATTTAATATATTTTATTGAGTTTTATAGGAGGGTCTGTGGCAAACCTTACAGACTGTGCCAGCTTTAAAGTTAGTAATTTTTGCTAAATTTATTCCAATTGGTCCTTAGAGCTTTTACAATATGAGACACAAAAGAATTTCTAGTTTTAATTCATTTATTAAACACAGGGGCTCGTAGCAGTCGCGCAGTAAGAGGGTGGTAACTCCAAACACCTTTCCTTTTCTCTATGCTGCTATGCCGTAAAGTACAATACCTAATGTACTGATTGAAATATTAGTTTATGGTGGGAATCGAACCTTACTTACTTAGATGCAGGGGCGTAGCCAGGGGAGGGCCATAGGGGGCTCGGGCCCCCCTACGAAAATCTGATAATTGTTTTATTAAGTATTTATAGAGAAGAACCAGTTAATGTAGAGGAAGTGATGAAAGAAATGTCAAAATCAGCACGAAAAATTAAATTTAATGTATGAATAATGAATTAAATATTTAAACTTATGAAGAATGAATATAGATTTAAGGATAGAAAAAACGGTTTTTTAATTTTCGAAAATTAAAAATTTTCTGGATACGCCGCTGCTTAGATGACCTTACAGATCAATTGTGATCCATGGCCTCCCAGGGGCGTAGCCAGGAATTTAAAGAGGAGGGAAAAATAATTTTTTTGTATGAAAAAATTTAAGAAGGGGGGGGGGGTGTATTTTGTGATACCTTAGCAAAGTAAAGAAATTTCTGTTTACGTTTGGAAATTTGTCCCCCAAATCCTCCCCCCCTCCTGGCTACGCGCCTGAGGCCTTTTTAAGACGCCGCCTGAAACTGGCTCTATCGCTGGCTACCGCTTGCCAATTTCCTATACCAAATAATACTGTCTCTATCAACAGCCTCTTTCTATATGAGTTCTTTGGTCTTAAACGTGCTCTTTTGCCATTCACATACCGAACTGGGCATCGAACCTACGTCCTTAAAATAAAGATTAGTATGATTTCCAGTCTGTTACTGAGTCCATCAGACCCTGAAGAGACCTTACTCGTGCACTAGCAGATTCACTTATAAATGGCTCAATAACCCATTTCCCAAAATTACTGCTTCAAAACCACACAAACCTAAATTTAACTGTAAAATCCTACAAAATGCTGTAAAACTTTTCCTTCCTTTCTCTTCCTGATAATTAAAATACTTTCTATGTTCATTCATTTTATGCTAACATCAGCAAATCATCACATATATTTCACAATATAAAAGAGGAAGAGAACAAAAAACTACAAAGTTCATACTTGAATGTACTTCAGAACTTTGTACTCTGGTCAACAATTTCTATTTTAATTTAAACAAATGAAAGAATTGAAAGACAAAGGAAAGAAGGAAGACAAAGTCCTTTTGAGGAACTTTAAGAAATCAGAAAATTGAATTAAATTTCATTTTTGTGGAAGAAGATGTAGCATGAAGAGGAACAACATTTTGAGGAAATGATTTTTTTTTCTCAGTTCATTCACTTAATTTTTTTTTGTAAAGAAATTTTCTTCTTTGCATTGAGAAAATGGAAGCACTGAATGGAACAGTTGGAAAAGCTCGGTAATTTCTCATACATGTTCTTGGAAATTGGGGCATTTTTCAATGGTTTGGAAGGCATTCACAAGCTTGAAAAATGTGTAAATTCATTGTAGATTTTATGGACTTGTAATTTATGTGTGTAGGCTGTGGAATTGCTGATGATAATTCACTTTAAAAATAGATTTGAGGGTTCACTTTGGATATTTTTTTGTTGATCTCTTGTATTTGCTATTTGCAATTGACTTACAAGAGCTAGCTCAGCCTGGGGTGTATTCAGAGCTGTTTTTTTTTTATTCTTAGCTTTACTTTTAGATATACCTGAAAAATCAGTACCTGAATCTGTAAAGCATTCTCTGAGAAATTTTCTGGGAGCTTGAATCGATGTCAAACATCCTTAATATGACCTTTCCCCTCTTTAGGACCTTTAAGCGCTCATGAATTGCATCCTGCAGTGATTATTCATGACTATTAATAATTATGAATGACTATTGATGACCACTGGTGACTACTGATGACTCCTGATGACTATTGACTAATTATAATTAGTTATTCCTGATGATTATTGATGATTACTGATTACTACTAATGAGGACTGCTGATTAATGATGACAATTGTTGATTACTGATGACAACTGATTACTATTGATGACTCTTAATGGTTGATGATAATTGACGATTATTTTTAATGACTACTGATGAAACTGATGATTACTGATGATTAATGATGATTAATGATGATTAATGATGATTTATGATGATTAATGATGACAACTGCTGATTTCTAATGACTATTGGTGACTCCTAATTGTTATTGATGATTATCGATGATTGTTAATCACTACCAATAGTTATGATGATTTCTGTTTACTACTGAAATCTCAATCCAATCAACCTTTTTAACCCCTCTCAAAAAAATAAACACCCACTTTAGTCTTCATCTCCCTAAATGCAACTCAATCTTGTTCCTTTGACAAATTTACTTAAAAATCCCAAACTTTAAACCGCAGAAAAATTTCTTTATTATCTCATTTTTCCACATGCACCACTACAGCATAAAATAAAGCAAAGGCATGACTGAAAATTGTGTGTAACTGAATTATTATCATGTCTTGAAAATTTGTCTCCAGCACATGATGAGAACAAGAACATGAAATAAAAATATTTCCTTGTCTCTTACCAGACATAATTCAATTTTCTCATCATCTCGGCTTGC